AGACAGACAGATGATAGATAGATAGATAGATAGATAGATAGATAGATAGACAGACAGACAGATGATAGATAGATAGACAGATGGACGGACGGACGGACGGATAGATAGATAGATGCACCTTATGCATGTAGATTGAGTCAGTCACTGTTCTCATTTCTTTTCTTGTATTATTAGAAAGATTCAGGTCAGTCTTAAAACATGAAGGAATAGTGCTGCAGCAAAATATTTTAATGACACCAAGACGGCATTGGTGTGCAGGATGAAAAATTTGTTTTTTACAGGACCAGAAGAGCAGCATATGAGAACAATACAAATTTTGCACAACGATAAACCATTTAATATGCAATATGGGTTTTTTATTTCGTTTTTTAGTCCTTTTTTAAAACTTTACGTTTACTCGGAACATCACCTTTAGCGTTTAGATGGTGTTCTGGTCGACAAGTCCATCCACTGGGCTGCATTAGGAATTAACTGTGTTTGTTTCATTCAGGACTCACGTTTCCCTGCTCTCACTGAGGCCATCACACAGATCGGGCCATGCAACCAGACACGCTTTGGGTACAATTGGTTATACTATCCACCCTCACATCCTCAGACTGTTGCTGAGAGAAGAGACAAGTGACATTCATGTGGATCCATTCAATATATTATTCACAAGACCCACCTGTGCCACAGAGCTGCAACTGGATGACTATTATTTGTGCATGTATATAAACAATGGCAAAGTTTTTTTATATATATTTTTATAGTAGCTGTTGGGTAACAAGTGACTACAATAACACTGACACATTCAGACAAGAATCAATTAGATAAGGTATATTATAAAACCTATTGTATTGGTATCTTATTTGATACACAAATTTCTAAGGCCTCTAAATGATCTGATTTTTATTAAGTATGAACACTTCTGGACTGATGCAACTTGATTATACATCATTTTTGGAACAATCATGCTAAAATATGAGTATCAAATATGACATGTCAGGCTTTTGAGAAACATTTATTTACATGTAGCTCAATCATCATCGTATTGCATTGCATTATGTTTTGCAAGATATGGAGTGACAACTGATATTTATATGCATTTTAAGCCTGCTATTGTTATGAAATATTGATTTACATTACATGCAATCAGAATTTTATATAACAACTGCACCAAATTGCATATTTTAGTTCAGTTTGGGCCTCTGAATAAACATTTTTTTGTATGAGCTCCATGTTCTGCTATGAGCCATAAAAGCCTGAAGTATCAAATATTCAAACACATGCAAATATATGCAAACTTTTCTTTCTTTCTTAAGTGCATATTTTTAGATTGTATCTAAAGGTTCAATAAACAAGTTTCATTAAAAATAAAAATACATTTATTTGACAATTTCACGTGTCAGATATTACAGGGTTAACTGAGTGGTTAAACTGTCAGAACAAAATACATTTTTCAAAAAATGTCAGGTCGGGGCAATTGTCACGTTTTATATGATTTTATAAAGAATTACAGATTTATGTTTACATTTTTTATGTGTTACAAATTCATTTGTTTCAAATAAGTTATGTTATTTTGTGTTGCTTCAAACGTTTACATTCTGTTGCAAAACCTATATAGGCATTTCCCCACTTTGAAAATTTACATCCCACTACAGTGTTAAATTAGGCTAACTGTAAATATTGAAAATATTTTTTTTTTCATGAGCAATAACTGTGAAAATAATTTTTTTATTTATTTATTCGTAGTGAGAACTTGATTTGTACAGAAACACTTTGTAAAATAAACCTACGCTGACAATCATCACTAGGGTGAAGTGTGTGACAACTTGCCCCGGTGTTCTATTTCATGCAATAGATACAACCTACTTCCAAGACCCAAGTAATCATCCATACAGCCTACACTCTTTACCTTGCGCCCATTTTCCGTTCACTACACTGGCGCTCGGCACAGACTCGCTCTCTCCTTGTGGCCAATCCCAGCATCAACTGTCATGCGGATTACCTCAAACCTAGAGTCGCCTAAAACCCGTTTCGTTGGTGAGATGGGAACAATTTAACGCGAGCGACGTTATATCGAGTAACCGACAGCACCAGCATCATCTTGGGTTCACAGCCTTGAGGATCCTCCAGCATGTCGGGAGGCAAACGCACACAACGCTGAAGTAGACCGCAGCATCAGCAGCACCACACCTTCCTTCCGCGATATTCCGAGCCTGGCGCACCGGATTAGACGCCGCGGATCCGACCTCCAGGATCCATAATGCCCGTTAATCGAGCTTGACACCACCGAAATGCTGCCGGGCTCTATTCAGATCACGGGAGAGGCGCTGTCCGGCGCGGAGATCAAAGACATATGCGACAGTCTGAAGGAGAACAGCGTGCGGCTGCTGTCGGTGCGCGGCTGCCAGCTGTCTGACCGGGACTTCGGCCGCGTGTGTCGCGGCGTGGCGGAGGCGC